TTCTCCACCGGGCGGCTGGTGGCGCGCGGTGTCCCGCCGGTGTCCCGGTGGTGTCCTCTGTGGCTGAGGCGCGGCCGGACCAAATGATTCTCCACCGGGCGGCCGGTGGCGCGCAGTGTCCCGCCGGTGTCCCGCCGGTGTCCCGCCGGTGTCCCGTCGGTGTCCCGTCGGTGTCCCGTCGGTGTCCCGATGATGATGATGTTGATGGTGATGATGATGATGATGATGATGATGATGATGGTGCTGATGATGATGATGGTGATGATGATAGAGAGACCGAATGTGATATCGATGGTGGGACCGAATGTGAGACCGAAAGTGAGATTGATTGTGAGATCGATTGTGAGATCGGTAGTGAAATCGATTGTGAGATCGATTGTGATATCGATAGTGAGATCGATAGTGAGACCGAATGTGAGATCGAAAGTGATATCGATAGTGAGATCGATAGTGAGATCGATACTGAGACCGAATGTGAGATCGATGGTGAGATCGATAGTGATATCGATAGTGAGATCGACTGTGAGACCGAATGTGAGATCGATTGTGAAATCGATGGTGAGACCGATTGTGAGATCGATTGTGATATTGGTTGTGATATCGATGGTTAGATCAATCGTGAGACCGAATGTGAGATCGATTGTGAGATCGATACTGAGATCGATAGTGAGATCGATAGTGAAACCGAATGTGAGATCGATTGTGAGATCGATTGTGATATCGATAGTGAGACCGAATGTGAGATCGATAGGGGAATCGATAATGAGACCGAATGGGAGCTCGATAGTGAGATCGATAGTGAAACCGAATGTGAGATCGATAGTGAGATCGATAGTGATATCGAGAGTGAGATCGATCGAGTGCGACGTTGGTCCCTCCCCCCCTCACCTCCTTATCACCCGAAGGGTGGTCGTATAGGTATATATACCCCCCAGGCGACTGGGAGCCAACCCAGGTCAATGCCGCCCCCCACCCACCATCCTTTGTACAAAAACAATACAAAACACACTCTGCCCCCACCATTTCTTGTAACAAACAATACAAACACACACTCTGACATCAAATTCGGAGCATGCGCAGCGAACCCGATGCGGCCTCCCCGCACAACCCCTGTCAAAAAACAATACAGAGTACACTTGGCGGCAGCGGCGGCTGCGACGGCTACAGCGGGGGCAGCGGCTGCGGCGGCTTCGGCGGTGGCGGCGGCGGGGGCGGCGGCGGCGGCGGCGACGGCGGTGGCGGCGCCGGCGGTGGCGGTTTCGGCGGCGGCAGCGGTGGCGGCAGCGGCTGCGGCGGCAGCGGCTGCGGCGGCAGCGGCTGCGGCGGCGGCGATTTGGCAGCGGGGGCGGCGGCGGCGCCGGCGGCGCGGCGGAGGCGGCGGCGGCGGCGGCGGACAGCGGCGGCGGCGGCGGCGGCGCGGCGGCGGCGGCGGCGGTGGCTGCGGAGGCGGCGGCGGCGGCGGCGGCGGCGGCGGATTGGCTCCCAGTAGCTGGCCATCCAAAGACGACTGCTGCATATGCTGCAGCTCGGGCCAGGCTCGGGTGCTACGTATGTGTTGGGAGGGCGGGTGGGAGTGAGCGAGACGGCTTGCGGGCGGGAAGGGAGACTCTTGACCCATCCCCCTACCCCCTCCCCTGGACCTGGACGCGGGGTTTCGCGAATGTCAGGGTGTCCAAAACGGCCTCGGCGAGGAAGCCAAAATCATTTGTTTTACTGCGGTTTTGGCGCCATTTTGGCCTCCTGAGGGGGGGCCATCATTAGGGACCCCCTCCTGTGATCGATCTCACCCAAGATGACCCAAAGATGGCCCCCAAGGCTCCCAAGGGTGCCCGAAGAGGGCCCCAAGAGGTGGCCAGGAAGCCCCAAGAGGCCCCCAGGATGCCTCCAAGAGGCTCCCAAGAGACCTCCAAGAGGTCCCACGAGACCCCCCAGAGGCACCCAAGATGCTCCAAGAGGCCTCGGCGAGAATGTCAAATCATTGATTTTACTAAAGTTTTAGCCACATGTTGGCCTCTTGGGGGGGCACTGATTAAGATGACTCCAAGAGCGCCTGGGAGAGCCCAAGATGACCTCCAAGATGGCTCAAGATATCCCAAGATGTCTCATAATGGCTCCCACGATGCTCCAAGATGCCCCAAGACCGCTCCAAGACGGCTCCAAGTGGCCAAAGAGCTCCTCCAGGAGGCCCCAAAGAGGCCAAAACTTGAGGAACATCTATGTGTTTAGCGTTCTCGCCTTTTCGCTTCCGATGGCCATCCGAGGCCTCAAGATGGCTCCAAGATGGCTCAAAAGGGCCCCAAGAGAGGCTCAAGAGAGCCCCAAGACGGCCCCAAGAGCGCCTAAGAGCGCTGCAAGAGCGCCCCAAGAGGCGAGGTGTTGGGCTCCCGAGGGGCAACGCTAACTAATGCTCGCTGCTTGTTTGATCGATATCCTCCAAGATGGCCCCAAGAGCGCTTCAAGAGGGCCCCAAGAGGCGCCCAGGAGGCCCCAACAGGCGCCCAAGAGGCCTCCAAAATGCTCCCAAGAGACGCTCTCCGAGGCACCCAAGACGCTCCAAGAGGCCTCCACTGGGGGACCCTTTCTCTGTGTGCTGCCCATCCCTGATCGAGGCAATTCCTCTGGGTTTCTGGATGGGCTGGTGGGGTTACGCGAAGCGTCTAGAATTCCCCAGGAGAAGACTCTAGGCAGGCAGCACCCCTGTCGCCGTGGCTGGATTCGGTGCTTCGTCGCGTCTGGCCGACACTCCTTCCGCCTGGGTCGGAGGCGGAGGCGGGATAGCAGCTACAGTTGTGGATGCCACGGCAATGGACACCCTAACAGACCTATCATCGAATTAAACATGCGTTGAACATGTCGGATAAATGTCATGCAAATGTTTAGAACATGTTTTGGTATATTGGAAAGCAGTTGTTACACATGTTCTAAACAGTTTGGAAAGTATTTGGCAACATGCTTCCTCTCCATTGATCGTCCTCCACAAAGCTACAGTCGAACCCAGGACAGCAGAGCATCCCTCAAGAACACGAGACCCTCCGCCCCGCCAAAGCACGCAGAGCATCTAAGGGTACCCTCCCCGGAGTGCACAAGAGCATCCAGCAAGCACGAAAAACATTAGGGTTAAGTGGTGGCGTGTCCCCCGACAGGTGGATGTTGGACGAAACATGAAAAAGGCAACACATGTTCAAACATGCTTTAATATAATCAAACATCGTCCCCTGACTATTTTTTGGTTATTGTTGGGTACCCCGATAGGACCACCCTACGGGTGATAAGGAGGTTGGGGGGCAAGGGGAAGGCGGTCGATTTGCGATGGCTCTGGGTTCTTTGGTGGTTTCGTCAACTTTCTATTCTCGCGCACATCTGCCCATCGATCGATCGACACACATATATATACATGTTAACTCATCTACTTGGTCTCTCTGTTTATATGTCTATGAATAGGTCTATACCTATGCGAATGTATCTAAAATTATATAGATATGTGTCTATCTGTCTGTATGTCCATCTATCGATCGATCGACCTACCTAACTATCGGGACAAGCATCGGGACAGCCATCGGGACAAGCATCGGGACAAGCATCGGGACAAGCATCGGGACACGCATCGGGACAAGCATCGGGACAAGCATCGGGACATGCATCGGGACAAGCATCGGGACAAGCATCGGGACAAGCATCGGGACACCCATCGGGACAACCATGGGGACACCCATCGGGACAACCATCAGGACAACCCTCGGGTATCGGGATAAGCATCGGGACAAGCATCGGGACAAGCATCGGGACAAGCATCGGGACAACCCGCGGGACAACCATCGGGAGGCCCGCCCGGCCGGGGTGGACGGGTGGCTCTTTGGGCTCCATGTGGCCTCTACCAGTGCAGGCACTCGCGCAGCTTCGCCTCGCCCCCACGCACGACACGAACCAACACCGAAACCGATTTCCCGTTTGGGGTCACTTCCGGTCACACACCCCAACCTCCGATTCCTCCTGTAGAATGACACGCCCGATTTAACATTAGGGTACCCTCCCCGCATCGACCTCGATCATATACCTCGGTCCGACTGCATCGCACTCCGCTCCCGAGGCGATTGTTGTCGGCGCCCTCCGTGGCGGCCGTCGAGCCTGTCACGGCCTGTGTGGTACCGCTTGCTTTCGCGCGAGGGCCAGCAGGGATCCACAGAGGGCTCCAGCTTGCCTTAAGTCGGGCATGTCTCTCTACAGGAATCTTATTCAAAAATAAGAAAAAAACTGGGGACGATGCTTTGATTATGTTTTGACGATTGCTTAGAATTTATATACTGTTGTTAACTTTCCGTCCAAAATCTGCTTGTAGGGGAGCATGCCCGACCTAAAACTTGCCCTAGGGTGGCCTGGAGTGGCGTCAGGTGGGCGGCGATCAGAAACGGGTCTTACGCGAGATGACGTGGCGACCTGACGCGGTGCCTTGCGCGGGCCGCCGGCGCGGCGCGCTAAATTTGGGACGGGGGCGCTCACGCGCGAACTAACGCGGGCAGCCTACGCGCCAATGTCGGCCCAGACGTCCCCGTTTGGAGGAGGAGGAGGAGGAGGAGGAGGAGGAGGAGGAGGGTTTTGCGTCGCTCAGGTGGAAGGGCCCCAGAAAAGCGCCATGCAGGACAGCGCCTCGTCAGCGGACCGCGGGCGTGGTGCTAGCGTCGCCCGCTTCCCCCGCCCTGCCTCCCCGGTCGGTCTGCTGCTTCGGCCTGCTGGGGACCTGGCAAACGTCCCGCTCTGGGCGCACCAGGTCCGTTGCCAAATGGTCCGTTGGGCGCACAGCGAAGACATGACAACAAATTTTGGGCTAGTCCAGCTGCAGTTGCAGACTCCTCCCCATCCCCTTCGACCTCCTCGCCGTCGTAGTCGTCTTCGTGATCGGCATCGTCGTCATCATGGTGGTCGCGGTCGCTCTCGTCGCGCTCATCATCGTCGATAGCGCCGTCGTCGCGAGGTGGCCACAACCCGCCAAGCGAGCGCCGAGCGTCCTCCGCCAGCTCGCGGTCGCCAGCGGCCCGCGCCCCCAAGATCTCGTGCTGGACGCGCCTCGGGTAACGGCGGGCGCGACGACGACAGCGGCGAACGTGATTAAAAAAACAGATGGTGATGCGTATGATGGTGATGTTGGTGATGGTGCTGATGATGGTGATGGTAATGATGATGGTGCTGCTGATGATGCTGGTAATGATGATGCTGCTGATGATGCTCGAGATGGCGCCGATGCTGCTGCTGACGATGACGACGACGAAGACCACGAGGATGATGATGATAATACTAATGAGTGTGATGATGATACTGATGGTAGTGGCGACACTGGTAATGATATTGACAATGATAAATGGTGACGATGATGATGACTATCATGACGATGATGCTAATGACAATGATAATGATGACGATGATGACGGCGACGATGATGATGACGACGATGACGATGACGGTGACGATGCCGATGGTGATGATGATGATGATGATGCTGATGCGGATGCCGAGCAAGATAATGATGATGATGATGATGATGATGATGATGATGATGATGATGATGATGATGATGGTGATGACAATGATGAATATGATGATGATGATGGTGATGACGACGATGGCGATGACGGCGATGATGACGATGATGATGCGGATGCTGAAGATGATGATAATGATGATGACGATGATGATAATAAGGAGGATCAGGATGAAGATGAGGATGAGGATGATGATGATGATGGTGATGATAATGATGATGATGATGATGATGATGATGATGATGGTGATGATGGTGATGGTGATGATGATGACGATGATGATGACGATGATGATGACGATGATGATGATGATGATGATGATGATGATGATGATGATGATGATGATGATGATGATGATGATGATGATGATGATGGCGACGGCTTCGACCGCGGGGGGAGGCGGGCAAAGGATGACAGGGAGGAGGGCGGCACCGACCCCGACGGCCCAAGGCCCGCGACGAGGCCGCGACGGGGGGGTGGAAAAAGCGGCGGAACATACCCTTTGGATAGTTTGACATGTCGGGCCTCAGAATCCGGACCCTTGTTCGACCGATCCAGATCCCCAGCGGCATGGCCTGGGCCCCACTGGGGATACAGGCCGTTCCCTTCGGGTTTCGAGGGGTATGTCCCTAACCTGGGGGGGTAATTCGGTGGGGGTCTCGAAGGGGATGGGGATGGGGGTGGGGATCGGTTAAACGATACCGACAGGACATGTCTCGGACTGCGAGACCCTCCGTGGGAGAGGGGGAAACGGGGGGCCCTCTTCGCGGCGGCTGGATCCGCCTCGGAGCCCTGGTCCGAGCGCTCTTATAAGAGGGGGAGTGGACGGGAGACTGAGGGTGAGAATGGGGAGGAGGGGTGACGGAAAAACGCGGAGGTCTGGAAAGGGACCTGCGTGCCCTGGGTGCACAGAAAGCAGGACGGCGAGCAGGAAACGGTGAGGGGCGGGGCACGCGGAAGGACGGAGAACGGATGGGGGCACGGGACGAGGGTGAGCACGGACCGTGGCAGAAGATGGCCACGTGAACAGCCCCAACAAAGAGTTCGGGAGGGTTGGCACCGACTAGGCAGTAGGCCTGGCGTCAACGAGCACGCGTGCGAAACAAGCTATGCGCTGTGTTCAGCGCAGTGCGGTTTTGGCTGGCGTGGCTGTGCAGTGAAGAGATTTGGGACATGCAAGGGATGGGCTCCTGAACCAACCCTTGGCTTGGCAACCAGTTGCGAAGTCTGAGTTGCGCACCGTACGAATGTGTTGTTTGACGCGGCTCCGCCTCGACGTCTGCGCGAATCAAAACATCGCCCGACAAACCAGGAACACCACGCGAACCGACCTGCGATAGGGATAGGCACACACATGCATTGAACCGTGGCCTGAAGGATGACCGAGCGTGCAGCATGCGACATGAGAGGCCTCCTGAAAGGGGTCCGAATATATGGGGTCGGAGGATTTCGCCGCATCGCCGATACGTCGGCGATGCATCGCCGATGCATCGGCGATGCACTGGCGACGTCGGATATGCATCGGCGACGTCGGCGTGGAGAAAATTGGGTCCCACATCGAGCTGCACCGCCGATACATCGGCGATGCATCGGCGATGCGGCGCGATCCTGCGACCCCATCTATTCCGACCCCATCAAGGTGGCCTGGAGACACGAGAGGAAAGAACGAGGAGGAGAGAGCGCCAGTTCATTGCCCTCCGGGCGCGACCCTTGGGGCGGAGGCGAGGAGGAGGGGGGGGAGGCTCTAGAGGAGGCTCTAGAGGAGGAGGAGGAGGAGGAGGAGGAGGAGGAGGAAAAGGAGGAGGAGGAGGAGGCACAGCGTTCCCTGGGGGTCTGTCTGTCTTAGCCCTCGCGGAACTCCGCGACCCGCCTCCGCAGCATTCCAGCGTCGAGGAATGTGGACTGGCGGCTGCGGAGGGTAGGCGGACCGCGACTCTCGCGGGGGCCTGAAACGACGCGGCCTCGACAAGGGATAACGGCCGACCGAGTATCCCTGCGCGGGCCGCGGAGAGGCTGAAGGAATGATAGAGAGCAACGACGAAGACAAAATCTTCTCGGAGACCGAGGCGAGCAAGGACGGAAGAGGGAAGGTCAGCTCGGAGGCAGGAGACGACGAGGAAGTGGAGGCGGCGGCACAGGCAGATATAGTGCGTCGTCGACCCCACCTCCTCACACCCCCGAATGCACTGCCGCACACGTTTCATCCGCGCGCCTGCGATCCAGGCCCCGAGCCATTTCCGAAGCAACATGGGCGGCCAAGAGGGTGGGAGGCCCTTCATCTGCTGCCGAATCGAGCTCCAATCCACATCGTTCTCAGAAAGCGACGGGGGGAACCATGTGCGCAGGCGGCGCATCAGAAGCTCTTCCATGGGAAGCGAAATGATTGCTGCGTGCAGTTCTTAGACGAAACGCGCTGCCACTTCACTCGGGAGACCAACAACCCGTCCAGGAACCGACCCGCCGCCATCCGCCCGCCCTCGCGAAGCCGTCGGTCCTCGGGGAAGCCTGCCGCCGCGGCTTCCATGAACGACACGATGGGCGGAGACCGCAAAAAGGGCGGAGCGAGGAGAGGGGAGGCCCACAGCGCCATCGGGCAGCGCTCGATGAGACCCTCTCGGAGCAGGCAGAGAGTGGACGGCCAGTGGGGGGGGGGCGACGAAAGCGGTGCGCCTAACGGCGGCAGCGGCAGTGATCTACAGACAGCGCACTCCAGGTCCCTGCCACTCTCTGGGGCTGAACCAATCCGAGTATCTCATGGCCGACATAGGCCCCTTAATCATCTGAGCCAGAAGCTGACGCTCGATTTTGGCAGCACCCCAAGGGGCCGGCACCAACTGCGATATATGCGATGGGGTAGAAAGGGCACGCTGGGAGTAAAGAAGATCCCCCGTCGGCAAGTCATGCCTAACGTTCGCGAATGTTTTGGTTCGAACGGCCATCTTGTTGAGAGGGGCGCGAACATTGCGGAAAGCGTCGGCCCCAGGACCCAGCCGAAATCGCAGGTACAAGACCCCCGACGCGACTTCGAAATCCTCCCAGCAAGCGGAGCCGGGCGGGGGCGTGGCACCTGGACGGGGGTGAGAACAGTCGCGAAGCAGAACGCGGACCTCCTGTTCGAGATCGTCGGTCAGAGCAGTTCGCGAGGGGGCAACGCAACAGTTCGAGGTTTTACGTTTTAGTCCCGCGAGATGCTCGGCGTGTCGAAAGACGCGGGAGACCTCGCGATAGCTCTTGCGGGAGGCAAGGGCCGCTCCTACGTCATCCGCACATGCTCTGATCTGTCCATGGCCAGGCAGCTGCGCATTTCCATGCATGTCCCAAAGGAAGCTATGTATAGCGATGACGAAGAGGCTTCCGCTGAGCGGGCAACCTTGCAGGACTCCTGAAGTCATGAAGAAGAAGTGGACATGGGAGCATCGAGCGGAGAGGAGGCAAAGGCTGAGATGGTAGAAGCCCTGGGCCGCAAGGAGGCAACCGCGAGGGGTCCTGATTTGCTGCAGTGCGAGCATGAGCCGCTGCTGACTGACCGAAGGGAACGCTTGCGCGAAGCCGAAAGCTCGGGGGCCCCGCGGGAACTGGTCAGCCGCGCGTGGGCGTCGAGTTCGTAAACGTTCGTCAAAAAGTTGCGGCCTCGGATAAAACCACGCTTCACGGGGGCGCCAATGTCTGTGGCGACCTCAGACAACCCAGCATTGGCGACCCCAGCAACGACCTTGTCACTGGAGCTCTTGAGGCCGTTGGCCGCTCGCGAGCCAGCGGGAAACCCGAAAGAGCACCTGGGGGCCCTGGCCAAGACTCCAGGCGGCGCACGCGAGCCCATCTGGGCCAGATTCCAAGTGCAAGACGCGGCGAACGAACCTGCTAATGGCACCGAGAGAGGGAAGGGGGGAGGGCAACAAAATCCGTGTCAAGAGCAAACTTCGAGAGGTACTGATGGCCCCACCTCGGGACCGACTGCTGCCTCAAAAATGGGGCCCCAGTACTCCCGCAGAGCAGCAGCCTGGCCCTCGGCAGAGGTCTGGATGAGATCCGCCCCGCCCCCCACCATCCCCGCCAAATACCGCCTGCGACTGAAAAGGGGGCCGAATCTGCACCCGCCCGGGGTGGGCCTTCGACCGCGCGCGGGGCCCGACGGCCAGGTGCCCTGGAGGCGCCTTCGGCTCGCTGGAGCCGCGCCGTTTCGGCCCGGGCCCCCTGGGACTGCAAATCCGAACGTGCGCGAGCAAAGGCATCAGGAGAGGTGAGGGCGACGGGCGACGGGTCAACGTCGACCGAGAAAAAGGAAAGAGCCACTGATGCCTTTGCCAGAGAACGTTGCCTAGGCGAGCGCCCTGACGCCAGACGGCTCGGGCAAAGGGCCGAAAGGGGAGAGAGCGACTGTCACGTAGCCTCGGGCGGCCTCGGAGCTGCAGGTCGCCCGCCGCGCGAGCCGCCGCCCGTCGGCAGCGCGTCGCCAGCTCCAGCTCCGACGGCGCCGAGAGCCCGCGGCCGAACCCCCCGATTCCAGCCATGCGCGCGTACTCCTCA